ACTAAGAGTACCTGGTCCTAAACCAGGCAAAGTGCGCACCAGTGGGAGGCCCAAACTTCACCTGTATGTAGACCACATATGAACCTAATCCTGACTTGTACCCCACATCTTTAAAATAAAATAAAAATATATAGGTCAGGCACAGTGCCTCAAGTCTGTAATCCCAGCACTTGGGAGGCCACAGCAGGAGGATTGCCTGAGCTCAGGGTTCAAGACCACTGGGCAACTTGGCAAGACCTCGTCTCTACAATAAATAAAAAAATAAGCCAGGCATGGTAGGACGTGCCTGTAGTTCCAGCTACATGAAAGGCTGAGGCGAAAAGATCGCCTGAGCCCCGCAGGTAGAGGCTGCAGTGGCTGTGAGCATGCCACTGCACTCCAGCATGAGTGGCAGAGTGAGACTCCAATTCAAATTAATAAATGGATAAGTATGGAGAAAAAAAAAAAGAAATATAACCTGAGAAGTCAGCAGCATGTTTCTTGGTTCTTGTTATTCTGATAAATTTGGGTTTTTTTAAAATTTCCTATTTAGTAGATTAACAGAAAGTTGCAGCTTTCCCCAATGTTAGCCTCTGACACAGGAATATTGCAATTTGAAAATCCAAGAATCAACAGGTAACTTGTGTTTTCAAAGTTGTGCTTGAAATAAGATGTGTAGCCGGGCTCAGTGGCTCAGCCTGTAATCCCAGCACTTTGGGAGGCCGAGGTGAGTGGATTGCCTGAGCCCACAGATTTGAGACCCGCCTGGGCAACTTGGCTAGACCTCATCTCTACAATAAATCAAAAATTAGCCAGGTGTGGCAGCACACACCTGTAATTTCAGCTACTTGGAAGGCTGAGGCGGAAGGATCATGGAGCCCAGCAGGTCGAGGCTACAGTGGCCGGGAGCATGCCACTGTACTCTAGTCTGGGCGACAGAGTGAGACTCCAACTCAAAAAAAAAAAAAAAAAAAAAGAAGTAGGAACAGAGGAGGACCCATTAATAAAGACAAGGAAGAGTGTCAGGAAAGGTGGAAGGGAAACCAGGAGGTGTGCAGTCCCCTGTGTATGACCTACAGTGGGACCCAGACAGCGCCGTCAGGAGCATGTGGGTGGTGCCCCTGGAGCCGGTGCCAGGGGGTGGCTCTAGGAGACCCAGAAGCCAAGAAGGAATGACTGACTGAGCCCAAGGATGCCAAGAGAGAGACAGCAGGTGAGGTGAGAATAGGAATCGAGTGTGGGTTTCAGCACTGAGGGCGTTCGTCATCCTGACCAGAACCTTTTAAAGGATGTGGAGGGAACAGAGCGGGGTTGACCAGGATGGAGAGGAAACGAGAAAGGAGAAGTTCCTCAATGTGTTCCTGGGACAAGAAGACAGAACCCTCAGGGTTGTGGGAAGAGGAGCAGGGGCTGATGGTATCAGAATCATGTTCAGGACCTTGTAGGCCGCTGTCTCCGGTGGGGAGGGAGAGGGGTTGACCCACAGCAGGGTACCTCAGGGTGCCTGTCCCCCTTTTGCTCCTCCCCCTTCATCAAGCCCAGCTCTGCCCCTGGTTGGCTGTGGACACAGACTCTGCCAGACCTCACTGTGTCCTCCCCCGACACCCCAGGGATCAGCTCTAAGGATCAAAGGAAGGTCTAACCTGATGGTAGACACACCCTCGGTGAGGTTGTGAGGCCCCAGGTCCACCTGGGAGTCCCAGATTGGCATCTATCAGCCCCACAATGGTAGAGGGTCTTCCCTCCCTTCTCTGGCTCCTGGGTAACATAAAATAATGGCACAGGGAACCCACAGAAGGACCGAGACGGTGAGGCTTTCCTGATGCTGCCCAGCTAGTATGACGATACTCAAAGGCAGAGACAGGGCTGGGCCTAGGCTCATGGGGGGCCTCAGGGGTCAGTTTGTTAGGGACAAGCTCCCAGCAGGACCCAGACACCCTTCCTCCCTCACTCCTCCCCAAGAGAAACCTTTAACTAAGCTATGGGGTAGTGAATGCGATGTCCCTCAACTGAACAGCTCCCCTGAGAGAAGGGAGGCTGGTGTCCCAGAAAAGACCCAGATCGGGTCATGGGGACCCTGGGATCAGAGCAAAGGTGGAGGTGGAGATTATGCTCTGAAATGTGTCCAACACCCACCACCAAATTATAAGATAAAGCTCCAACCTCAAGGACCTAGGAATGTGACTGTGTTTGGAGAAAGAAATACAATCATCCCTGTGTATTGGTGGGAGATTGTTTCCTGGATCACCCCTGTAAATACCAAAATGCATACTCAAGTCCTTTGAATAAAATGGAGGAGCATTTACATATAACCTGCCACAACTTCCTTGTTGTTTTTTTAATTGAACTCTCACTCTGTCGCCCAGGCTGGAGTGCAATGGCATGCTGCTCTTGGCCACTGCAGCCTTGACCTGTTGGATTCAGGCGATCCTTCCACCTCAGCTTTCCAAGTAGCTGGAACTGTAGGCACACGCCACCATGCCAGGTTAATTTTTTATTTATTGTAGAGATGAGGTTGCGCCAAGTTGCCGAGGTTGGTCTCCAACCCCTGAGCTCAGGCAATCCTCTCACCTCGGCCTCCCAAAGCGCTGGGATTACAGGCTTGAGCCACTGCGCCTGGCCAATACTGTATTTTTAAGTATGTATTATTTTTACTGATGAATTGAGTTTGTTTGTTTGTTAATATTTTGATCACTAGTTGGTGCAATCCTAGGATTTGGAATCCATGCATATTAGAGCCAAGTGTAATTCAGTGAGGGCTGGTCCTAAACCAATAAGACTTGAGGAGATCTGGACAGGCTCTGTGGCTCAGCCTGTAATCTCAGCACTTTGGAAGGCCGAGGGGAGCGGATTGCCTGAGCCCGCGGGTTCAAGACCAGCCTGGGCAACTTGGGGAGACCTCATCCCTACAATAAATAGAAAATTGTGTGTCTGTAGTTCCAGCTACTTGGAAGGCTGAGGCGGAAGGATCGCCAGAGCCCAGCAGGTTGATGCTCAGGTGGCCGTGAGTATGCTACAGCACATCAGCCTAGATGACAGAGTGAGACTCCCACTCAAAAAAAAAGGAAGAAGAAGAAGAGGAGGAGGAGATTGGGACACAGACGTCCATGAGAGAAGACAGTGTGGGGACACAGGGAGGAGACGGCATCTACAAGCCCAGGAGACACCTCAGAAGGAACCAGAGCTGTGAGGAAATGAAATTCACTGTTTCAGCCACTCAGTGTAGCAGGGTATTATGGCAGCTGTAATAGAATAGATGAGAAAACAAGAACTGGGTGGGAGCCGGGCATGGTGGCTCATGCCTATAATTCCAGGACTTTGGGAGGCCAAGGTGAGAGGATTGCCTGAGTTCAGGGGTTCAAGACCAGTCTGGGCAACTTGGCAAGACCTCATCTCTACAATAAATTAAAAAATTAGCCGGGTGTGGTGGTGCACACCTGTAGTCCCAACTACTCAGGAGGCTGAGGTGGAAGGATCACCAGAGCCCAGCAGGTTGAGGCTGCAGTGAGCTGTGATTGTGCCCGGGCGACAGAGTGAGACTCGGACTCAAAAAACAACAGGCCGGTTGCGGTGGCTTACGCTTATAATGCCAGCACTTTGGGAGGCTGAGGTGAGAGAATTGCCTGAGCCCATGGATTTGAGACCAGCCTGGGCAACTTGGTGAGACCTCATCACTACAATAAATCAAAAATAAAATTACCCAGGCATGGTGGCACATGCCTGCAGTTCTAGCTTCTGGGAAGGCTGAGGCAGAAGGATTGCCTGAGCCCAGCAGTTTGAGGTTGTGGTGGCTGTGAGTGTGCCCCTGCACTCGGGCGACAGAGTGAGACTCCAACTAAAAATAATAATAACTGGGTGGGAGTTGGGCTACCTCCTCCAGGAAGCCTCTCCTGACTCCCTCCACCAGGAAGAGCTAACCCCTCTCTCCCTAGGTCCAGTCCTAAAAGTCGTCCAGTATGCTGGGTATTTAGGAGTACCTTGGTGAATCTGTTTTCAAGAATCTTCACATACAACCTGGGGGCCGTGGAGGTCAGTCACTGGGTTGGTTTCCCCTCTGCGTTCCCCTGCAGTTTGGTGCCTGATATTCAAGATGTGTGGAGGCTGAGGGATGAGCACCGTGTCTCCATAGGACCAAAACAGAGTCATTTCAGGAAGGGCCAGGTGAAGGGACATCTTGGAGAGTTTACCTTACAGTCCTTCACGGTCCCTAAGCTCCCCCTCGGCATTCCCTTGGCATAGGTGTTTAAATCCCAACGGGTGGTACTAGTAAGTGTCCCCCGATTGTAGGACAGAGGAGGGAGACTGAGAGTGGGACAGGCCTGGTGGGGTGGGAGGGGGCTTCTGGGGCACCAAACCTCCGTGTGCTCACCAGGAAGTGTTGACAGGTGGGGCTGATACCAGCCTGGGGCTGACAGATTTAGAAGGGAAAAAAAAAGGAAGACGCCCAGTTAAATTCAAATTTTAAGGAAACAACAACAATTTTTTTTTAGTCTAAGTATATCCCATGCAGTAATGAGTACTTATAATCTCTCTTACAATGATCTCTTTTGTGGGGATTAATTGTTTATCTGAAAGCTAATTCACTAAGCTGCCAGTATTTTCTCTGGCAAGACCAGCCCCCTGTCCAGAATCCTTTCTCCCCTGCACCCTCCACCACCAGATGGACCAATAAGAGGAGCTCATGGTGCAATCTCACTTCTGCTTTCTCAAGGACCAAGGCCAGAGGGAGAGCCCCACTTCCCTTCCCCCACCAAGGCCAGCCCCAGGGACAGACATGGGTCTGCTCTCCCCAGAGGGGCTCAGAAGAAAGGACTAGCTCGTCAAGCCCAGACCCGGGCAGAACCCAGAACAGACGGAGAAGGCAAGTGGGCATGGCAGGCGGGGGAGGGGGAGAAAGAAGAGGAGTCCTGTGACCTCAGGATCTGACGCTCATTTCACGCCTGGGTCCCCAGGGCTCAGCTTCCGCCCTCAGCTTCCCCTTCTGCCCGGAGTCTTGGGCCAGTCGCAGCGGGGCCAGGGAATGGCCTGTCTCAGGGCAGGTCCGTGTGCCTCCTGACGCTGAGATGCCACTGCTGCTGCTGCTGTCCCTGCTGCTGGGCGGTGAGTGGGCCGAGGGCCAGGAGGACCTAGGTCAGGGCTGGGGCTGGGGATGCAAGTTGAGCCTCTGTCTCCCCACAGGGTCCCAGGCTCAGGATCCAAGATACGGCCTGCAGATACAGGAGTCGGTGACGGTGCTGGAGGGCCTGTGTGTCTCTGTGCCCTGCTCCTTCTTCTACTTTCTGCACAGTTGGACAGACCCTACCCCAGCTTACGGCTACTGGTTCAAAAAAGGGACTGACTCAAAGACTGGTGCCCCAGTGGCCACAAATGATCGAAATCGATGGGTGCATTGGAGCAACCGGGACCGATTCCTGCTCACTGGGAATCCCCAGGACAAGACCTGCTCCTTGTTGATCAGAGAAGTTCAGTTGCAGGACCATGGAGCATACTTCTTTCGCGTGGAGAAAGGACCCCACATAAAACACAATTTTAGGAATACGTTCTCTCTGCAGGTGACAGGTGCAAAATAGGGTGGGAACCCCTGCCTCTTACCCTGGGGAGGGAGTGTAAGGGTGGGCCACAGGCTCTCAGCCTCTCTGGGCACACCACCACCGGGAAACGCCACCTCCGGCACCTGTAATCTCCCCTCCCACTGTCCCAGACTCTCAGAAGCCAGATGTCTATGTCCCCGAAACCCTGGAGCCCGGGAAACCGGCGACTGTCCTTTGTGTGTTTAACTGGACCTTCAAGGGATGTCCAGCCCCTTCCTTCTCCTGGACGGGGGCTGCCCTCTCCTCCCAGGAAGGCCGACCAACCACCTCCCACTTCCCGGCACTCAGCCTCATACCCAGACCCCAGGACCACAACACCAACCTCACCTGTCACGTGGACCTCACAGAGGTTGTGGGGGCAGAGAGGACCATCCGACTTCGCATGGCCTGTGAGTGTGGCGGGGACTGTGGGTACAAACAGGCCCGGAGATGGGGAGGTGGGGAAAGCTTAGCGGGGTGGGAGCTCAGGAGGGTCCACGGAGAGGAAGTTGTGGGGTCCCAGGATGAGGCCCCAGTCCTGGGAGGGGGATTGGGAGGGTCATCTGGTCCTCTGTGTACAGGCCTGTGCTATGAGGCTGGTTTGTCACTTGTCTTCCTGGGGCCAGCAATACTTTCTTTTCCCTCAGGGAGTGTTTCCCGGTGGTGGGGAACTAAACATCCCCCTGAAGCCAGCTCACTCTCGTTGCAGATGCCCCCAGAACCCCAGTCATCAGCATTTCCCGTGACAACAGGTCAGGTACTGAGGGTTCTCTTGGGGTGAGAAGGCTTCAGGGGCTAAGGGGATGGGCTCCTTCCTGAGCGTGCTC